ATTTTCCATAAACTGATTATCATCACACCCCACAATAAATTTACGGCGGTTCATAAAGCGCTGAACAAGCTCGACATGAAATTATGAAAGATTTTAAATTAAATTGACGAACATTTGAGGGAATCATTCTAGAAAAAATTACAAGATATTCTGCTAAGCGACTCTATAGTAAGGTAAGCATGCTATGCCAAAATTTCTAGCTTGTAACTAAATTATGCTTTAACACTCTTAAATTATTAATTCTAAACTATTCTTCCCAGGTTATCAATATGTTGATTTATAAGTTACATTTAAATAAATAAATAGACAAATAAATAAGGACTTCGTAGAATAAAGTTTATTCTTTGTTGCATATTCTACTTTACAGAATAAATCTATTTAGAACCATTGAATTGGGCAAGAATACTCAATTCGAAGTTGTTAAGCTTAATTGGTACATTCAAAGCGCCACAGTGCTCTTTTTCTTGGTGCAAATATGAGAATTCTATGAACATGAGCTTGTAGAAAATTTCCAAAAATATTCTGCAAAAATGCTAATCTACCTCTCAGCACTTGGGAAGTTCGCGGCCTCAGCAATAGGGTTGCAGAGTGCTGCCAACCTGTGCCGGAATAGTGTTTGACTGGCTAGTTTTTTTTTTATTTCAAGGAAATATGAGCGAGAAGAGGAACAGGCGCAAAGGTATTCGCTGTCACTCATGTGCACTATCAAGTTTTTGCTGTAGCAAACACACAGACAGGCAGATCTGTCTGACCTAACGTCTCATAAAGCTTATTGTTATTGGGATCGATGAAGATTGTTTGCTTAGGGGCGCCGAAATCGCCCAGATCAGGCAGAGTTCAGCCTCCATAGAGCAAAACTCCAATGAAGTTATATTTTTTTAAAGAAAAAATCCAGGAAGTTCGCAGCGTTAGAGTCGATCAATAGGAGTGAGTATAACCTCGAACAGTGCTTGTGCACTAAACTGATCCAGTTTTTTAACTTGATGGACCACTTTGAATAACTGCTGCACTATTGCCACCCCTATGAATGATTCATGCAAATCTGTACAGTAGCAAAAAATCAAACAAATTTTTACGAAATGGATACCTTTCTGAAAGCAAAAGGAAAATAGACACAGAAATAGTTTAGCAAATTTTGAATATAGCTAGCTCAGTAATAAAAAAAGATGGACCTTCTCTTCAAGAAGTTGAAGTTAAAACTACACGTCGTCGACTTAAGGCCGTATATCGCTCGGGTTTCTCTAATTTCATAATTGTTTGGGGCTCATTGCCATAGCTTGGAGTGCTCGGTTGTTCATTATCACGAAAAAATGTCAAAGGCATGCTCAGCGGCCTTATATGGGTTTTATCGGGAAACCTTTAGAGTGTCTTATCATCTAAACTACTTGTTTCAGGAAATGACTTTTGTTATGCAAATGCCCACTTGTTAAAAACATAGGACAGTTGTAGAGAGAAAGTTTTAACATCGGTTTTCCAGTTTTGACAATTTTTAATGAGGAGGAACTAAAAAGGAGCTAACTCCATGATTGCTGAAAGCAGTTTGGACTCATTTCAGGAATGCGCGTGA